TCACTCTCTATCCCTGCGATGAAATAAATGCGTGTCTGCTCTAAAAAGTCGGTAACAAACCGACTAGTTGCCCCAGAGCCTGACCATGGCCCACGATAAGAAGCCCGTGCAGGCAGTGGGAAAAGTAGGCAGTGGGAAATTCCAGCAGCACGGGGAAAAACGCAGGCAAGCACAGAGTCAGCACTCCACCCACCACCTCCACAGCACGGGAGGTGTGGCTGGAGCATGGCGAGGCGGAAAAGAAGGGAAGCGTGAACAGAGTGCATGACACCCATGGACAAAGCGGGGTAGCTTTAAACAGCTACAGACTATGCTAAAAAACAAACAACAAAAACACAGATGAGCCTTCAGACGCCCTTACACGAGTGGCACATGCTGTCTTTGCCAGCCTCTCCATCCACAGGGTCCACAGACACATCACCTTTGTTACAGTGCACCTGAAAATCAAGATCCCAGTGCAGGGCTTGGCTGCTCTCACAACACACCTTGTAGCCTGAAGCTCCAGACACTCCCCTTGGAAGCAAAGGGCACTTTCTCCAGCTGCCCGAAGCTATGAGGGTGAATTACACAACAGTTGGGCTGCGTGAGAACCACCTTCCATCTCTCGCAATCCCCAGAAAGTTACTTTCAGATTGGGATCATTTACTGCCAAAGCTAAAACCCTAAAAAGGGAAAGCCATTATCGTTTTGGATACCCACCAGCACGTCCCCACTGAAATCTTTGAGGTATCTTTCCTTCAACTAATTATAGGACAGCTCTCTGAATGATGCTACATTTTGTTTACAGGTTTCTTTCAGATAAGATCAGACCAGAAACAATCACCAAGTTTCAGTACAGACAGTTGCATCATAAGAACTTTCTCCAACAAACCAAACTGTAATTTCTGCTTGCAAGCTCACTCATTAGCTTTCTACTAGCAAGGGTAACAGGACTGGGTGGTTATATGAGCAAACAGCACTTAAGGAACAGGAATGACAGAAGATGGCCTTAAGGTGGATGAAGAATAGTAGGCTGGCATTTCTTTGCTCAAGGCACTGCCAGGATTTCATCAAGTCAGGGAGGAAGTCCCCCCCCACCACCACCACCACCACACCCTCCCACAAACGTTAGTAACAGTGACCAGTGAGTGTAATACTTGCTCTTGAAAGCCAGAAGTACACAAGGAGAGGGAAGAAATACTTTAGCACTTCAGCAACTAAGCCACAAAGTGCTGCCAGGTGGATAATGAGCAGTTTTCTTCTTGGCAACGGTTTTCATTCACCTCTGATGCGCTTTTGTCCAAGCCTTTCAGGACTGCTCGTGTCAGTTCCAGCTTGTATTACCGTTCATTCAGTGTCTTACCTACGTTACTCAGCCAGTACTGGAGGTTGGCAAACCAAGTGGAAAAGCTGGCAAACAAATCAATCCCTTCAATACAACATCCAAATTGTTAAATCCACTTAGTCCACAACAGCTTTTAAATCGGAGCATCGTACCTGGCGAGCACCATGCAAAGATACCTCCACCATGCTGAAAGGCTTCCAGCTGCAGCACCTCCCTCCCAGGCTGGCCAGCATCTTGCTTCGACCTGTCGTCCCATAACAGCCTCTCACAATCCCTCTCTAGACCTTCAGTTCCTAGGTCAGCTGTCCTTTCTGGTCTAGATCCCAAACTGATCGTTCTTTGCTGTATACGAAGTATGAAGGTGTGCCATAGGATCATGCTCCAGCTATGTGGTCACTGCCAGCCTCCAATCTAACAGTTGCCTGCAAGGTTTAAGGCAACAGAAAAAAGAAAAGACACCTGCACACAACACGGGCCCCTGACTTGGGCAGAACTTTTCTACCCTTTTCTACCCATTTTCCCTTCTTGTGATCGCAGCGGTCCTAACCAGCAGAGCTGTTCACAGAGGAATGTCCTCCATGCTTTAACTGTAGCAACGCTATTTCCACGGTCAACATGGCACCCGTAGAGAATATCATTCTCTTAACCTATTTTCTTAACCTCTCTGTAAGGGAGGTGAGGCTTCACCAGGAGCATTTATGTCCTTTCTTTCTCCCCCCTCGTGGATCAACACAACAGGAATTAACCTACTTTGGGACACAGAGTCCTGCTACTTTACAGGCACTTGGAACATTTGTTCATTCGCCTACTTGGTTGATTTCATTTGTGGCAGGGCTGAGCTAGCTTGTTCACTAAATGGACTCACCACCCATGATGCAAATATTAGATGACAGAGGTTGCCACGAAGTTCCAAGTTTTGTCATGTGATTTAATTGCCTTGCATGCCTTAGTTTGTCTTAAATAGGTTAGTGTGTTAAGAGAGATATTCCCTGAAGAAATAAAATACAAAGTAATGATTCTTCACTGCAAAGTCTTACTCAGTTAATTGTTTTAGCTTCTGAAAAATGAGTCTAAATAACTCCTTTGTCAGGATCAAATGAATAGTAAATCGATTTTTAAATTTCAAAAAAAGGGACAAGGAAAAAAAAGCATTAGTTTCCTAAACTTCCTTCTCATTTAAGCTAGCATTTAAAAAGGGCAAGACGTGAAAGAGCAAATAGAAGCTCTTCATTTTAAACCCTCATCCATATAGCGACTGGAACATCTTGCACCAGGTGAAGTGCAGAGACTGGAACAGAGCTCCAGTTTAGCAATCCTTGTGTAGGTTGGGTGTGAACATTGCCATTTCAAGCAGTGTCAGCTCAACCCAGAAAGGAATGTTATTTCAACAAAACAATAGATTAATCTAAAGTAAGGGGCAGGTGCTCCAGCTAAAACAGTCTAAAACACACATGCGGTTAAGTACTACTTCACAGAACAAGACCTTCCTTACTCCACCTTTATGAACAAGCTTAAACTTCCATAGGGAACTAACAGAAGGATGTGGATGGCAAAAGTGAGCAAGTCACTTGTACTTTGGATGCCGTTTGGTATTGCAGGTCTGATCCCACTTCCCCACCCCCCCCACCAACCCTGCCAGACTTTGGTACTAACATTTGTGAGAACTAGAAACCCCAAGGGGACTCTGTGGGAGTAAACTAGTCAAAGCTAGACATGCAAACAAGCAGGCTTGGCTGGAAAAAACACCTTTGATTGGTTCTTAAGTCAGAATTAAAACTGTTAGAAAATGGACGGCCCTGGGGAAGGGCATCGCTTCTATAAGATCTGGCTTCTGGGTCACTCCTGTCTGCTACTTTACACAGACCTGCTAGTTGGTCACATCTACCAGATTTTGAGTTCCTTCTGCATAAGGAGATAACAGAAAGACCAACTTTACCTACAGGAAGAGGTGGCCATGGCTACGGCAGCTCTACAGAGCACTGCTGCAGAGCACCAGCAGCCAGGCTGCCCTCCTTCAGGCCTAGAGCAAGACTTGCTCTGGCATAAGCGCAAGCTAGTGTGGAGTCATGCTCCCTCCAGCTTCACCTTGCTCTTGACCCAGTGCCAGGCCAAGAGGTTTGCTGATGGTATTTTTCTACAGAGCTGCCTGAGGTGGGGGAGGCTAAACTCTGAAGCACCATGGAGGACTAGTCAGGTAGATAAAACTGACTGTCAGTATCTCAGTTTCGTTTACTAAAGGAAGACAGGAAGGAAACACATATGGGATAAGCGCATTTAGCATAAATGTATACCCTTGTCTGGAAAAGTAACTATTACAAGTGGGAAGGAGATAACCGTAGGAGAAGTTCATCAGAAACATGCAGAACACACTGGTTTTAATCCATGAGACAATTCAAACAGGCAAAGGTTTCATGGTACTTAACTATGCCAATTACGCCAGCCACTACACATCCTCTGCTTGTTCTTTTCAAAACCGAGCAACAAAGCACACCAGTAGCCTTCCACTCTCTCTCAAAAATAAGTCACTCATGCTGAGCAGAATATTTTAAGGCTCTACTACAATAAGAGTAGAGGAACTGATCTCCTGAGGAAATGCCTCGAGCTTTCCAACACAAAAGACATCCATTGGATGTCACCACCCAAGCTCAACCCTTCGCAGTCCAGCTCAGCCAGAGGCATAGTGGGGAGGAGGCGTATCTAGGGCCAGGGCAGGAATCCTGGCTGACGCTTGCCTCCTGCTTGCTATAAGAAGCCAGAGAAGCCAGATGGTTTGCAATAGGTATCAGGAAGGGGCTGATAAATGAAGTGTAACCAAGGCTTGACTGCAAAGGGAGAGGGGGGAAGCACAGAAATTCACCTCTTGTGACTGGATTTTAGAGCATGAGCACGCAAGTTCCAGCCCCTGTAGGATGAGAGAGTTCCCCGGGGGCTGCCCTTGGGGCCTTGCTTACTCGAGGAAACATGGTTTCACCTGAAGTATATAGGCAGCAGAATGGTACCATCAGCTTCCCCACATATAGTCAGCCCAGGGGGAAGAGAAGACGCCCTTTGCCTAAACCACCTGTTCCACTGTCAGTACCACCTCTGCAGCATGCTGGGGAGGAATGATCACTCATGTAGTTGTACTCCATGAGCTGTAAGGTGCTCAGAGGAGGTAGGAACAGGACAGGGAGCGGGGGAGCCCCAAATCTACTCTCTGGTTGCTGCCTCCTTGAGAATGTATCTGATTTAACAGCTTCCTCAGAGAGCTTACTAAAAAGATGTTTTAAGCAGTATTTTCCTTACAGGCTTACTAGTTTTGACTGAATTTTGTTGGTGGATGTGCAGATTGGATGGTAGTTGGTAGAGTTGTAGGGATATAGAGTTTATAGGTCTTGAAAAATATGGTTTTACTAAACACCCATTAGGTTTCATCATCTTTTCTGTTCCCAGTTGGCTATAGAAGAATCCCCTACAAAGGGCTGAAAGCTCAGGGCTGGTCACCGACTGCATGGCTTGTGACTCACATCCATCCTACATGTAAAAATAAATTCCTAGTATTGTATATACAGAGGGAAAGAAAAAAGACTGAACCTCAGCAAACCAAGCACTAGGTGCAGTAAACATCCTATTCCCTTCTAGAGAAGCTCTTGTGGAGGGGGAAGAAAAAGTGTTTTTCACTCTTTTGTTTTTGTAGTGGCAAAAGTCACAGCTGAAGTATTCGGTGAAGTTAGTGACGTGGGACGATTCCTAGCAACTGGGAAGCCACAAAAATGAAATGGTAAGCTAGTTTTTCTTCTGTTGCAGAGCAGCTGAAGCTTGGAGGCAGAGGGAATTTGGTTTCATTATCAAAGAAAAATAATTTCAAGAGTAAACTGTATATACAATTAATTTCGCCCACATGAGAACGCAAGAAGGAAATATGGACCTGGTGTTTGTTTGTGACTGAAGCCACATCCCCTTAGGGCCATTGAGAAAGCTCAGATGTAAAGAGAAAAGTTGTGATCCACACCAAAGACTAGAAGATGAAACAAGACAAGGATTCTAATCCATGCAGATTTCTATCCAAATTTTCTTCACAGATGAGGAAGTTGTGAAACAGGGCATAGTTTATGCCAGAGAAAAAGCCTTTGATCTCTGCTGTAGCATTCCAATAAAACATTCAGCATTTCTCTATTTCTCTCACTTTATTAGGGAGCCTGCTCTTTGGATGGTTGCCTGCCTACTGTTTGCATCTCTACCCAGAGGTAAATATACCATAATACTCATCTAGGAATTTGTGGAAATATCTACACATGAACACACAAACTGCAATTATGATAATGATCCAGTGAGAATCTTTGAGCTGAGCAAAACAGAAATATGCTTTGCTTTGAATGCATTTCGTCCCATTCCA